GGGTTTTGAACAGACGTGAAGTTGTGAGAATGAATGAAGAAAAGGGACGAGGAGGAGGTGTGCCTTGCCGCCTGGCCTTAGCGAATGCAGTGGTTGAAGAGAAAAGGCAGTCTCCACTTGGAAAGGTCTCCAAGGGAAATGGAGTTGGAGAACAGTTTCAGAGGTCAGATTGGGCAGAAATAAATGAAGCTAATATTGATATCTATTATGTATAAAATACTGTAAGTTAGTCTTCACAACAGCCTATTTATAATTATTTCCTTAAGTCCCAGGATTAAGAACTGGGTTTAGAAATCACCAGCATTGAAAGATAAGCTGATATATATTAAAGCTTGTAAGAGTCTATTGAACATTTGGTGAACTTGCTCATGAGTGAGTCAGTAGAAATGAAAACAGGACAGAACTGCAAGAACTTCTGGCAATTCATTTATTGAACAGATACTTACTAAACACTGTTCTGGGTGGTGGGGGTACATAGGGGTAAAAGCACATGAAAATCCTTTCCCTGATGGGCTACCGTCTAGTGGGAGGGAAAGATAATAAATAAAAAAATGAAAATGCTTGCTGCATTCCACAATTATAAATGATAAGGAGAAAAGTAAAGCAGGAAAGAGATAGAAAATTGTTAGGGAGAGGAAGCAAATCTTCAGGGAACAGTACTACCTCCAGGCTACCGTGGGGCTCTAAACATCAAGGACAGTGGCCAGTTAAGGACAGGTCACTGTGGGTTCTTCACTTCCACACACAATTGCAAGACCACTCAAGTTCAAGGGACAACAAATAGGGAGAGTGGGGAACAAAGAGTTTCTAAGGCCACAATTGGCCAGCTATCTCACCCCAGATGGTGTCCACAGTGTCCAGAAGTCCCAAACCAAAGGCCCCTCATCCAAGATAGTGCTGTACCATCAAGGAGGGCCCAGTGCTCATCACACAGCAGTAAGCGGCAGGCCAGGATCCAATTCATCGTAGCTGGAGGTGGTCACGGGCAGGGCCACTGAGATGACACAACATAGCTCTCAATATGGACAGTACTGGACACTGGACCAGGTAGTGATGGAGATAGCAGCAGTGGGAGGTGGTACCAGGTGACGAACAGCTGTCAGAGATTACCTGGACACATCACCAGGCAATCATCAACAGTGCTGGGTGGCGCTGGCAAGCAGTGGTCAACTCTGGTAATGAGGAGTAGAGGAGTCAGAAACACCATGTCAGCAGGTCTATGTGAATTGCTGTTCCACACCAACAACAAACAGCTCTTTGAGATGCCAGGCTGAGGGCCTTTGGTGCTCCTGTGGGGGTGTCAGAGGCAGGGCCTGAGGGAGAGGCCTGGCCTCTGCAAAGCTCTTTGGCTTCTCTGCGAAGCTTTTTGGCTTCTCTTTCTTTGGAGGTCAGTGGCTAGTCCTTTTTTTTTCCCCTTCTTCATCGGAGGTCAGAAACAGCATCCTTCCCTGAATGAGTGTGAGTCCATCAAAAGGTCTGAGAGTTCAAAGCTGGCTCCTTCCCTGCCTTATCTTCTCTCTCTGGGTCTCCCACCCACAAGTCTGAGTGGACCACTTGCAATCCTATGGCTGATTGGCTCTTTCACCAATTGGCTCATAGTTTGCACCTGACCAGTCCATTCTTTGCTCCAGCACCAAATCCGCCGTTTTCTCTACTGCTTTCAGCTGGAAGGAGCCACAGTCTTGCACTGGGACCCCATGCTCCTCCTTGCAGCCCTAAACCAGGGGCTGCATGCCCTGGGGTGGCATGGTACAGGAACCACTGCTGTCTGCCATCACTGCTGGCCTCTGCCTGCAGCCTGAGTCCAGTGGCGCCACTGGTGGTGGGTGGTAAAATGCCCACTACAGTTGCCATTTGCACTGCCCACAAGCAGCTCCTGGGGCTGAGCACGGGGGAGGAGCTGCCCAAAGGCAGCAACACCTGGCACAGGCGGAAAAGAGCCAGTCTTGCCCCATAGCTTGAGCTGCAGCCCCGGCCTCACTCATAGAGGTTATGTTACAGTTTGGACTTGTAGGAGGCCCTGCAGATCTACTTAGGGAGACAGTTCTCCAGGAAGAGGGGAGTCCTGATATGCTCAGGTACAGCTAGAAGGCCCACGTGACTGGAATGGGGTGAACAAGATGGGGAGAAGTAGGAAATAAGGTCAGGGAGGTGACAACGATTTGGCTGCAGATCATAGATCTGTCCAACATAGTAACCATCAGCCACATAGTTCATAATTTCATCGTTGTTAAAGATGTGGCTACCAAACACCTACACAAATGAAAATTCAATGTAATGAACAATTCATTCCTCAGTCTTTCAGCCACATTTCAAGCATCAGCAGTCAGGGATGGCTGGTGACCACAATGTTGAGCATCTTGGAGATTATATCCACTGTTGCAAAGAAACATTCTATTGGATGGCTTCATAGTCATTGTGCAAACAGGCTTTATTTTAAATGGGTGAAGGTAGGACAATGATCAGAAAGAATATAAAATTAGTTTCATATGATTAAAAGAAGGTATTGACGCTGTCCTCCCAAAACCAACAGTGTAAAAATGTCAGATTTGAAAAAGAATCAATAGATCTTCTAGAAATTAAAAATAAAACAAGTTAAAACCTCAATGACTGAGTTAATCTGATAACAGAATTGGAGATAGTATATGCTAGCAAAATACGTCATTTTATACGTGCTTGCGTGGGACGGTGCTAATACTTCATTTGATCTTCACAACAATCAGAGGTAGATGGACAGTAGTGTTTATCCCACATAAGAAGCAAGGGAAAAGGAACTGAGAAGTTGCATTTCTCATCCAGGCAATCTGAAGTCTGTGTACTCAATCACTCTGCCAGATTGTCTTTCAGGAATTTACCAAGAATGCAGTATTGAAAGAAAAGAGATGGAAAATAAGAGGGGTTATGACACAGGAAATAGAATGAGAAGGTCCAATGAACATCTCATAGGAATTCCAGGAGTGGATGAAAATAAAAAAACAAACCCCAGCAAAGAGGCAAGTAGTACTGGGAAAATGGATGGCTGAGAATTTTTCATCATTGCTAAAGACAAATCCTAAGATTCAAGGAGCGCAAGTTGCAGTCAACATGAATACAAAGGAATCCACAGCCAAACACATACCAATACAAAGATGAAGTGAAAATCTTTAAAGGCTCTGGGGTAAGTGGGAATTTATTGCCAGGACAGGGAGAGGCTAGTAGAGATTTCTGCAGTGAGAGATTTGATCACAGTGGCGTGGGTGTGCTGGGGGAGCACTGGGTGCCTGCATGGGCTGCTGGGGAGGACTGGCAGCCTCTCATTAGAGAACTCACCTCCTCTTGGGTACTGACGAGAGGCTAGATATGCTCCCTCCCAACTCAAGCAAGTAGAGGTGAACACTGCTCTTGAACTTAAATCACAATTTGATACATGAACGAATGCAAGAGGAGCATTTTGAGAATGGGGGGGGCAACCTGGTGGTAACCCTTGGGCTGCCGAACTGATTATTTATGTTAGGTTTTATAGTGATATATTTCTAAAAGTCTATTTGTGATGTCTATAGTTGTACCCATTAATGTCAATGTGATTTCACTTTCTGCTAAGAGTCCAAAGCAGTATAAAATAAACATAGAATAACCTCCATATCTGTTCTAGATGTTTTCTATGCTGATTTTAACTATTAATAAAAAGGTACTAGTAACAACACCTAGAGCAATTTCAGCAGCCTCTGTGGTCAGTATAATCTTGTTTCAGCCACAGCTGTAAGAAATGCTAGAATGTGTTCTCTGCTACCCAATGAAATTTGATAACAGAAGAAACCAAACAATTAAAATTATTGCTTTCTCACTCTACCATGTGTTAATATTGCAAACCACTGCAATGACAGAACTTTTCTGCTTTATCCTGCAGTTCTAGGCTCAGCTACAGTTTATCAGACTCTGCACTCACCCCTTTGTCTACACAGTGAGGTCACCCCAAGGAGGTGCTGTTCCAAAGCAAATTTCTGTTCTCTTCATTCTGCCATCATTAGATCATGAGTACAGGAAGAAATGTGATGTATGAAGACAGCTTCCTTGTAAAGAGCTGTAACGGGACTGTGGTGATGGTGCATGGGTGCATTGGTGAAGGAAATTCTATAGGGACTACACCTGAGGGGGGGGGCAAATATTGTTTAAAAATGAAAAATGATGTAAAAAATAAATTAAAAAAAGAAGGACTATAGATCCAAATTGGTCCTTAAAATTCTTTTTTTTTTTAAAGATTTATATATTTATACATCCAAGAACTGGGGTGTAGGCCAGAGGTGTCAGGGGGTGGTGGTGAGAAGGATTCACCAGAGACAGAGTGGGGAGCAGAACAGGCAGATCCACTGAAATACACTGCTGAGCAGAGTAGCAGGTGAGACAGGAGAGATCTGCTGTGCCATGTGGGTCAGCTCCCTGGTTGGGGATTGAACTCATGCTGCAGATGCTGGGAATAGCTTGATAATGCTGAGAATTTAACCCCTGTGCCACCAGGAAGGTCCTATTCTTATAATTCTTACTGGTCAGCCTTAGAGGAAGGTATGTGAACATCATTTTTACATATGAGGACACTGAAGCTAGTGGTTATATAATGACAGGCTGAATATGCACACAGATAGTGGCTAGTTCATGTATAAAAATTATTTCAACCTACAGCCATAAAGGTAGGAGACCAACCCATAATCCAGTGACCAGTCCAGAAAGCCAGTCTACTCTAAGTACAAGGGTAAGAAGTCAAATACTATTTCTGGTAACAACCCAGGGAGCCAATCAACTCTATAATAATCTACCCTACATGGTTGGGATTTGTTTAACAGCCAGTTGCCTAGTTTTTGTCTCAACTTTCAATTTAGGGCAAATCAGAGAAAGCCAAATATGCACCCCAACCAATTACATAGGATGGCCCTCTTCCAGTTAATCTGTCCTATTCCTTCCCCTCCAACTAAGTCTCCAATCAGGGCATACCTGGAAACTTCCCTTCCCTCTTCCATAAAGCTTTCCACCCATTGCTGCCTTTGAGTCTCTGCCAAAATGCAAGTGGTGGTGGCTGACTCCCCTGCTATAGCACTTTCTCACTCACATTGCTTATTACCATTTGGTTGATCTTAATTTCCCCAAATACCTCAGCTATTGATGGCAGATCAAGGTCAGCAACAAGAGCTATCTGACTCCAACCTCTCTTTCCCTGTACTCCTTTTCTGTAGGTGGGGCCTCGAGTGCCTTCAATAGTAGCAAACAGGGCACCAATGAGAGGCAGGGGCACTTTGATCTGGCATAGTTTATTAAAATTAGTATGCAAACGTATAAAACCATGTAAACGCCACATAGTAAACTGTTTATCTTCCACAATAACCAACAGATGGCCTGCATGACCTTCCAGCACCCTCACTATTTTAATAATGATACATTTCACAGAAAGTTATAATCATACAAATAGGATAATACATCTTTTAGGAAAGGGATTTTTTTGGTCCACATTTCTAATAAAACAAACACACACACTTTCCTCTTTGGCAAAAGAGGGTAAATCAACACCCCCCTCCCCCCAAGTTAACTCACAAAGCAAACAATTGAACATGAAGATGAGGTATGGCTGAGGTCTGGGCTAATCAGGAATTACAGACATGCTGGAGAGGAAAATTGTTTCTTAGAAAATCAGTTGGTTCCCAATCATCTCAGTAGAAAATCCCTATGCAGATTTGGCCTTGGTCACTATTATAAGAACACACTTTGAATAACCTTTTTGTGCTTCACAGCCCAATGTGCTATTTCTGAAGAAAGTCATGAAAAGAATGGGAATCTGACCTAGCAATATTTTTTTTTTTGTGGGACCCTCACCAGTGGCCGGGGAACGAACCGGAGCTGCAGAGGCTGCCACGCAGCCCAGTGCTCAACCGCTGTGCGACCAGGGGAGGCTCCTAGCAATATTTTAAATCTGAGATACAGAAGCATTTGACCAGGTAATTCAGACTGTAATTGCTGTGCCATCTTCGTTGGATTTGCTAGGAGGGCAGTTTTGGTTACGTGAAAGCATTTGGCTTTGCAGACAGTTTGAAAAGGCAGATTTGCATGTGAAATCGGAACAGTATGTGCTATGTCTTGAGGTGAGGAAGATGCAAAGTGTGAGGCTGGAAGACAGGTTCCTCAGGGCCACACCACTTAGGAAGGGGTCAGTGAGGCCCACTGCAGGCCAGAGACCTCTTGTCTCCCTGTGTGCTCCAGCTGCCACTGCACATCCCAGGCTGAACTGGAGTCTAAGGAGCCTGCAGCTGCCTAGGCCATTGTTAGGTTTTAAAAATTCTACAATCATAATTGCTAACAAGCACCCTGGTGTGCTTTTCACGCTTCAAGTAATTTCATTTCTTCCAGGAGAAGAATGTTAACAATGCTTTTAGTTCTAGTTATCAAAGGAAAGGAAATGACCCACAACAAGATTAAGTTTATACAAACCTGCTGCTAATACAGTATCAGATAAAATATATTTAAAAAGTGAACATACTATTATATATGCTTTTGCAACAGCTGCATTCTCCCACTTAACCTCTGTGCAGAACTAAAATCTGATAAAGCAAACTTAAGTTACTTTAATTCTTGTTAAATACAACTCTGTACAGATTGCACATTTTACACCAAAGCAGCTCAATATCACAGTTAGAGAAATGAAAATGCCATTTGAAAATTTTCATTTTTCTAGCCCAACAAAACCCAAGAGATTCTTGCCCCAAGGGTCAGAACAAAACCAGCTGCACAATTTTGTAAACAGTGTGAGAGGTGGTCTCTAGGATTCCACCGTAGGATCCTATTAAGTCTCTTTTCTCTCTCTCTCTCTCTCTCTCTCTCTCACACACACACACACACACACACACACACACACACACATGCACACACAGCCCGATGCTCAGTACCACAGCAGGTTTCTTTCACATTGTGCTCACAAAAGAGCAGTCATGGCTGTCTGGTTGAGGGGATTGAGGCAGTCTCGGGGGGCTGAGTAAGCGTCATCCACTGCAGGGTTCATCTGTGGCTTCTGATAGTCAGAATCTGCCATCTCCGCGGTGAAGCAGCCGCTGGCTTTGGGCTGATCATAGCCGGGGTCGGCGGGCGCGGGGCTCTGCGGCATTTGGTAGCCCGAGGCTCCCCCTCCTGCTGCCGGGGAGAAGCTGCCAGAAGAGAGAGAGTGTTTGTGCGCGGGCCTGGGCCCCGGGACTAGGTAGCTGCTCTGCGCCGAGAAGGTGAGCGCGCGGGCCAGGTGCCGCTCCACGATGGGCGTGGCGTACTCGGGCTCCGGGTTGGGCAGGGGCAGGGCGTACTCGTGGCGGCCGGCCGGCAGGGGGCAGTCGTAGTGGCCGCGGGCCTCCGCGCTCGCCCGGGCCTCGGGGGCCTCAGTGTCCATCGGCCGGAAGGTGGAACCCTTCCTGGTGACTGTCCCCGTGCCGATCATGAGAGGCTGCTGGTAATCTGAAATGGAGAGGGCAGAAGACACACCGTTTGCACCACAGCGCTACAGCGGTCAGCTGTTTGCAGGGAAGGTAGGCCTGCTGAGCCAATCCTCTGCTGAGCGCCTCTCATGTCCTGTCCAAGAAAGAGGCGCAGGTAGACACCACACCAGGGGATGTACTCCTGCTTAGGAAGCCCCAAAGGGAACTGGAGAGACAACGTTTAACCTGGGGGAGAGGGGATGCTTCATGGAGCTTTTAAACTGGCTCTAGAAATGTCCAGTTTTGGATGTGGGAGTCATACTGTGAGGAATGGGAAAAGAAGCACCATGCAAATAGTTTGATGCTATGAGTATGAGGGGCGTGGAGTAGTGGGGTGGGCAGAAAGGCCAAAGGTAATAGGTTGTGGACTAATAGTAAGGGGGTGAGAATGATAAAGCTCACATTTATTGAGTCCTTGCTCTGTGCCAGGCGCTACCCTGAGACATTAGATATTAAATTCTCAAAAAGTACTATGAGGGTAGGAGCTATTATTCCATTTTACAAATGGAAAACTGAAGCAGAGAGACATTAAGTCACGTTTAGAAGATCAGACAGCTAGCAGCCAATGAAGCCAGAATTCGAAACCATCCCAGATGTTCTGTTCACCATACGTTAGTGGTGAGAAGAGCTGAGTGCTCTGCTCAGAAGTTTGCTTTGCTTCTGGGGAAGCTTGCAAAGGATTCGCAATAAAAGACTGACACAGTTAAAGATTACAAAGAAATAAAAAACAAACAGAAGTAAAACAGATGTCACAAAACAGGAGATGGGCAGCAGCCTTGGAGAGGCTACCATTAGGGAACAGGAATCAGAGGAATTTATTACCAATAATGTGGAGTGCAAGGAGAGAAGGGAGCCAAGGAAATTTCTCAGATGTTCAGCCCAGGAAACCTGGAGGCTCAGCGGGAAGGAGTGCACTGTGTGTGTGGAGTGAGGGCTGGCAACAGTTGCAGTTTGGGGCTATGAGGAACCGGTGACGCTTGAAGATGGAGATGTCCAGCAGGTGGGAATGACCCACTTACTAGGGACCAGGAGGGAAGTCTGGATGTGAGCAGAGCAGATGGATATGCAAGGAAGGTTCTGGGGAAGCGAGGGAGAGGGTGAGAATGCCCAGAGGAGAGACTGAGGGTAAGTGTGGGCAAGAGCAGGACCAGGGACATATAAGGAGCCCGAGAAAGGGGTGAGGAGGTGAGAAAGACCACATGGGAAGCTGAGGGAGAATGAAAGGAAAAGGAGCATAGACAAAGGGTCCTCCCTTCACCTTGCTTCCGTCCCAAAGGAGACCTAGAATTGTTGGGAGCAGGGAGCAAGTAGACAGACTGGGGTTGAGGAGACATTCCCTTTGCCCCTAGAGTGGCTAGCCTTGCCATGGACGTCCTTCTGCTTATAATAAACACACGTAGCTCCTGGGAACTGCTGGTTTAGTCAGCCTGGGACATGGACCGGATTTCCAGCAAGTCCCCAGATGCTGTTGCTGTAGCTGGTCCACAGACCATACTTTGAGTAGCAAAGAGCTAAGTCAGTGCTGCTCAGTGTGGTCCTCAGACCCCTATGTATCTACGACCCATTTGTGAGAGATCTGCAAAGAGAAAAGTACACAAATTGAGAGCAAGTGTTTAGAAACTGACAGCAACTTAAAGAGACTAACTTTATGCCCACGACCCTAATAAAAAAAACCCAGAACTTTCTTATTTAAATGTCATTAAAATTTTCATTTATTACTACTGATCTATACTGCATCTCATAAAAGTATTAGTCTCCTATGAATTAGATTTTTTTTTTCCTAAAAACTAAATAATGCGCCCAGACCAGCAGAGGCAGCAGCCTGCGCCCTCCACCCGCCCCGGGGTCTCTTTCCCCTTTCCTCCTCCTCCTCCTCCACCCCCCCTTCCTCCTCCGCCGGCGGGGGCCCCCCTCGCCTTCCCGCCCGCCCCTATTGTTCCGCCCCGGGCCTCCCGCCCTTCCCCTTCCCGCCCGCTCCCCTTTTCCCCTCAGTCACCTCGCGCCTGCAGTTTTTGGCTTTCACCCCCACCAGTGACCAAAGACTTGACCACTCAAAGTCCAGCTCCCCAGAACACTGCTCAACATGGACACCGGTGTGATTGAAGGTGGATTAAATGTCACTCTCACCATCCGGCTACTTATGCATGGAAAGGAAGTTGGCAGTATCATAGGAAAGAAAGGAGAATCAGTTAAGAAGATGCGAGAAGAGAGTGGTGCACGTATCAACATCTCAGAAGGAAATTGTCCTGAGAGAATTATCACTTTGGCTGGACCCACTAATGCCATCTTCAAAGCCTTTGCTATGATCATTGACAAACTGGAAGAGGATATTAGCAGCTCTATGACCAATAGCACAGCTGCCAGTAGACCCCCAGTCACCCTGAGGCTGGTGGTCCCTGCTAGTCAGTGTGGCTCTCTCATTGGAAAAGGTGGTTGCAAGATCAAGGAAATAAGAGAGAGTACGGGGCTCAGGTCCAGGTGGCAGGGGATATGCTCCCCAATTCAACTGAGCGGGCCATCACTATTGCTGGCATTCCGCAATCCATCAGTGAGTGTGTGAAACAGATCTGCGTGGTCATGTTGGAGTCCCCTCCGAAGGGCGTGACCATCCCGTACCGGCCCAAGCCGTCCAGTTCCCCAGTCATCTTTGCAGGTGGTCAGGACAGGTACAGCACAGGCAGCGACAGTGCGAGCTTTCCCCACACCACCCCGTCCATGTGCCTCAACCCTGACCTGGAGGGACCACCTCTAGAGGCCTATACCATTCAAGGACAGTATGCCATTCCACAGCCAGATTTGACCAAGCTGCACCAGTTGGCAATGCAACAGTCTCATTTCCCCATGACGCATGGCAACACCGGATTCAGTGGCATTGAATCCAGCTCTCCAGAGGTGAAAGGCTATTGGGCAGGTTTGGATGCATCTGCTCAGACTACTTCTCATGAACTCACCATTCCAAACGATTTGATTGGCTGCATAATCGGGCGTCAAGGCGCCAAAATCAATGAGATCCGTCAGATGTCTGGGGCGCAGATCAAAATTGCGAACCCAGTGGAAGGATCTACTGATAGGCAGGTTACCATCACTGGATCTGCTGCCAGCATTAGCCTGGCTCAATATCTAATCAATGTCAGGCTTTCCTCGGAGACGGGTGGCATGGGGAGCAGCTAGAACAATACAGATTCATCCATAATCCCTTTCTGCTGTTCACCACCACTCATGATCCATCTGTGTAGTTTCTGAACAGTCAGCGATTCCAGGTTTTAAATAGTTTGTAAATTTTCAGTTTCTACACACTTTATCATCCACTCATGATTTTTTAATTAAAGCGTTTTAATTCCTTAAAAAAAAAAAAACTAAAAAACTAAATAATGCATCTTTCCTCACAGATAATTTGAGAAGCTCAGCTCTCAATGATGACTTGTCAATGAAACTAAGGCCACTCAAATGCTGGACTAAGGCCACTCAAATCTCTCATCCTCCAACTTGTCTTCCTCAAGGGCAGCAGCTGTCCTTAATTCTTCTTCCAAGCTGCTCTTCCTAGTGCCTTAATCAAAACCTTGGTAACAAAAATAGATTAACTAAGGGCTTCCAGATTTTAGTGGAAAAACAGTGTCACTGCTGTGAGCATCGCAGACCACACTGAAGGATGCAGAACCCTGGCTGAACTGAGGGACTTTGGAGAAATATCTCAGTGTTGGTTTGTAAATGAACAGAAAGGAAACTTCACACATAACTGACTTATTGGACCTCAGTGAAAGAAAAGGATTTCAGGCTTACTTCTCTCCCGCTCTCCTGTGTCCCGCAAGCAGCACCTCCTACTCAACAGCACTGTCCAAAAGCTTGACACTCACCTGCCATATCACTTGTGATGAGATCTAACTTTTGTGTCATCTCCTTTTCATTGTCATAGCTGATGGTGAATTCGGTGGACTGATGTCTGGCAAAGGGATATTTAATCTGCTTCCAGCAGTCTGGAAGAAAGATAACATGAAACAAAATAATATCGCAGAAGCATCGCACACATGCCCCACCATATGCTCTCCCAGGAGACAAGTCAGGCCACTGTTGGCAGGCCGACCTTCTCGATGCATGCTCTTCAAGTGCTGTGATGGAACCAGCATGCTGAGGTCATTGCCCCTAAACAGTAAAAACTATCCCAATCATGCTCCCACTGTGCCTTTAAAATCTATTTGTGGGCCTCCCTGGTGGTGCAGGAGTTAAAGACAGTGCTTTCAAGTTATCGCCAGCCACTGCAGCACAAGTTCAATTCCCAGCTGGCAAGGCAGCAACCCACATGGTGCAGCAGACCTCTCCAGTATCGACCACTGCTCCCCTCAGCAGTGTATTTCATTAGATCAGCCTGTTCTGCACCCCATTCTTTCTGATGAATCCTCTCAACCCCCCCACCTCTGTCCTACACCCCAGTTCTTGTATGCATAAATAAATCTTTAAAAAATTAAAATAAAATCTATTTGTGTCCTCATCAGGCTTCAGGTCATCCTATATTAAGCCTCCTGGGCATGGCTTTATACTCTGTATGGACACAGCATTCGTGACTCAAAAGAACCATCACAGATGGGGGTCGACTTAGGTGGATCCCAAGTGGTCCTTGAGTTTCGAGGATGTTACCTGCTGCTATCTCAACTCACTGCTTGGGCACCCTACGGCCTAAGAAGTCTACGTCCTAAGAATACCTAGACATAAGCACTGCTGATCCTTCAGCCACTTTTCCAGGGTAGAAAACACAGTGGGAGCCAAAGATGCCAAGAGCCACAGACAAGGTTCAGTCACAGATGGGCTTTTATGACGTGTCTCTACCTGTGATGACAGGTAATGTGGAGGCCTAAACTCCACTGCCCAAAAAAAGAAGAGTGTAGATGAATGATGAGATGTTGAACCAAAGCAAATTTTGAATTGCAATAGACAGCACACAATACATTCTTCTTTCTTAGCCATAGAAGTATGGACAACAGAACTAATGCCTTTTTTTTAAAAAGATTTATTTATTTGTTTATACAAGCACTGGGTACAGTCAGGGGCACAGGAGGGTGAGAGAATTCACCAGAGCCAGAGTGGGGAGCAGAACAGGCGGACTGACAAAATACACTGCTGAGGGGAGCAGCAGGCACAGCAGTAGAGGTCTGCGTACCATGTAGGACCCTCGCCCGGCGGCCGGGGATCGAACCGGCGCTGCAGAGGCTGCGGGCAGCTTTGCAACCCAGTGCTCAACCGCTGCGCCACTGGAGAGGCCCAGAACTAATGCTTTTAATCAACAGAACTAATGCTTTTTAATCAACAGAACTAATGCTTTTAATCCCTTCCTTAGAAAGTAAAACTAGATTTTTAACCAACCTGTTTTCTGAGCCTTAGCTGATGCGTAAGGATTTCCCTTCTTCTTTCTCCTATTGAGACAAAAAAAATACTACTGAAAAGGTTTCTAAATGATAAGTATTGCTTATTAAACAATATTTGATACTTTCTACCCCTACTAACTTGTTTTTAAAATAAAAGCTAACATTTTATCTCAGAAGAAATGCTACATGAACATCTACCAATTAAATGTCTGAGGTTTGTGATTGTTTACATAATTAGGAAAGGAATTTAAAAATGTAAAGTCACATACTTTTTAAGGACTGCGAAGATTCCCATTCCAGCAGCCAGCAGGATGAGGAGCCCCAGAGGGATAGCAACAGCTGTGATATTTATTCCTAAGAAAGGGAGAAGCCCTTCATTATGGTACATTACCACACTTACCGCATTTCATGATCTAAAACTGAACATTGACTGGAAAGGACTTTAATACTTTAATATGTGGGGAAAAAAGAATACATGCTAGGCATTTTTTAACTGGAAAGCAAAAAGAGATAATTCAATTCCTGGCTAGACTTTAGGAAAATAATTTTTTTTTTTTTAAAGGCAGCTCCCAGTGTTCCTTGGGGATTAACATTTAGTCTGAACTTGCTACTTGGGCCCTATTAGACTGACAGAATGGACAGGAAGCCAACTTCGCAGGAAGGTTTAAGGGCTGGCTACCCCGCCAGGAGCTATGAGGACAGGTAAGTGATTTAAGCACAGAGGGGGCTCTCAGTTTGGTGCAAACAATCAACCCTCATGCTCTGCCTTAGGGTGGGTGGGTGTAGGTCTGTACAATAACAAAGGCCCAGGGAATCAGGACTCCCCATTATCAGAGCTTTGGAGCTATGGACTGAAAGGAAACACAGACTGATGACCTCAAATAGCACTTCTAGTCTGCTGCATGCAGCACAGACCATGTCTTTCCACAACACCTTCTGTTTTAGAAAAGGAAGTCACTTTATAGTCACTAAGGCAGGCTTTTGCTTACAGAAACTACACAAACTAAAGGAAAAATATTTGTTCTTTACTCCTTTTTATCTATGATCCCTGGGAAGAAAATGAAGGGGTGATCAGGAGTGGAAAAGTATAGTTCATGGTAGGAGGATAAAGACCTTAGAAGGGAAGAAGACTTATGTAAATAATAGCAGTGTTATTTATGAGAATGGAAATTTAGGGAAAATCTAACAACTCAAAACATTCAGTGATAGAGGAGTTATGCCTATACAAAAAAATACTATGATGGTATTAGTGATTGTGCTTTTAAACTATTTAATAACATTAAAAATGCTCATAACACAATTTATGTAAAAATATATGCTACAGAACAGAATAGATGGCATGTACCCTTTTGTCTCAAAGCTATAAATATAAATACAATTGACTGTATACAGTGAAATAGGTAATTAGCTATGGCTGTTGATTTATATCTGATTTTTATTTCCCTTTTTAGAGTTCTCTAATCTTTCCAAATTTTATAAAATATGCAAATTATTTCATATTCTGAAAAAAATAAATGTATGTTTAATGTTCTTTACTTGACTAGGTTATACAGTTACTTGTTCAAAATTCAAGTTAAAAAGGTATTGAATGTAACACCTTCCTCCTACCTCTGGACCACCTCCACAGGAAGCCAAATTATGTTTCCTGACATTCTTCTGAAGATACTGGAATGGATATATTCTTTATTCCCCCCTCTCTTCTTTTACACATATGGTAGAGTGCTAGCCAGCCTGTTCTGCACCTTGCTTATTAAATTGTCAGTATATGTCAGGGAGCTTTCTATATTACTAACACATTCTTGTCATTCTTACAGAATATTCTATTGCATGGGTGTGCAAAATATCAAATGTTTATGTAGTGTTTGAAGGGCAAACACTACCTTTTCTACTTATAACTATGCAAGGAATAGTTATGGACAAGCATTTTATACATGTGCAGATACATCTTCTGGACCATCTGCCTCCACACATTTGTGTGACAGACAAAAAAAAACTGTTGAAGCTACTGGAATATATCACGGGGTCCCAGGTATATGCTTTAGGAAACCACGAAACAATAACTGCTCACCTGTGGGTATTTCTTCAGGGGGGATGGATTTTGTGATTGTCTCATCATCTCTTTTAGTTGAACCAACATTAGGGATTTTTTTGCGCCACACCAATGAATCGTTGCCTGAGAGAGAGTGATGATGGGAAAATCACATTAGTGACAACAGTTTGTGAAAGTCGATGATCAGAATCAAACAACCACTGGATTGCCCTGAGTCCTACCTTGTGTAATCTGGCAACCGATAAGCTCCACCTTCAGAGCTATCCTCTGGTGCCATGTCTGGGGCACAACCCGTACATATCTGGCCACGATGGGAGGGATGAAATTGTTCCTTACGGGATCCCGAAAATTAGAGTTGCCTTGAAACACCTGTAGAAAGCACTTACTTTTACCGAGGGTTATACTTGGTGTTAGGAAACTAAAGCCTGTCTTTCCATTTTTGTAGATACTCTTGATATTAAAGATAAAAGTCTTTGGGCCTCCCTGGTGGCTTAAGGGGTTGGGATGCAATGTATGGGGCTGTCTGCAGCCACTGCAGCAAGAGTTCAATCCCTGGACAGGGAGCTGCCCACATGACACAGCAGACCTCTCCTGGCTTGCCTGCTGCTCCCCTCAGCAGTGTACATTGGTCAATCTGCCTGTTCTGTTCCCCACTCTGTCTCTGGTGAGTCCTCTCCCTCCCAGCACTCTGGCCTGTACCCCAGTTCTTGTATGCATGAATAAATAAATCTTTAAAAAATGCATAAAGATAAAAGTCTTTGCAAACAAAGTCAAGCCATCTAAGCAAGATGGGGTTGCTAATCTGTTTTCTGTAAACACACTGTTGAAAACATTTGGAGGTCTGATCTCCTAGTCAGTTCCTCCCTCCAGGGTTTCTCTTACCTTGTCCTCATTATTGACAATTCCTTTATAGGTCTTCCACTTGGAGTTGTTTTTGAAGTTTATCACAAAACTCTTAACATAAAAGTTGAAATTTGACTGTGTGGATCCTGTTGTCCTAATTCCTTGTAAGAAAATATTTTTTATAGGTTAGTATGTATTTAACATGTGTTATAATTTCAGGTTTCTTTCTCCTCCCCCCATTTGAAATCTTAAATCACTTTATAGGCCAAATTTTCTTATTAGCATTTAGAAACATGATCATAGATGAATGTTTTCATACTGAAAACATGTGTCATGGAAAGTATTCATCATTAAGGTTATCAGCTCTCTAAGCCACAATACATCTACACTGACAGCCAGCACACAGGTTATTGTAAACTAAAAACATGACTTCAACTGCAAGTCATTTTGCATTGGTGCAATTGCATTTTGTGTCAATACCTGTTATTTTCTTTTTCTCTCCCAAATCAATCTCCAGCCACTCTCGTTTGTGGTTCTTGTTGCTATCCCCTGAAGCCCACGATGGGCCTTGGTCCTGAAGTCGGGCTTGGCCAGGAGACCAATGCACTTGTTCTTCAATCTCATTGACCCACTGCCAAGAAGAAGAAGCTCTGATTTGCCTGTCAGGTTCCAAACTCAAGGATCTGCTGCACCCTAGAAAAAAAAGAACAGGAAAATATTTCAGTTATAGACACAAAATAAAAGCCAAAAAAAAAAAAAATCCCATTTCACCAAGAATTATTCAGTTGATTTATTTTCATCCTGATGTCAAAGTGACCATTTACAAGTTTCTTTAATGATGAGATTTGCCTAAATTTATTAACATTGCGATGTCTTAAAATTGTTGCTCCTTTTCTTTTCACTACCGCATCAAAGTCACGTCACCTATAAGTGACACTGCTATGTCTTCACTATAGATTTTCCTTTCTAACTGAAGTTCACCCAGTCTATTATAGGTTTAAAGTAATGAGGCTCTTCTCACTTGATCAGAGGGGACCCCATGCTTGTATCCTTCAAGAGAAGGTATGTCCAGGTGCTCTAAACAGTAAATTTACCCAGCATCACCCTAAGACCTTAACTATAGTAGTCCAAGCAAATTAAGGTCATACTCTTCTTCCAAAGAAGACATATTCATATTGTTCTCCTTGAAATATTTTACTTTATGCTGAGAGAATATTTATACAGTGTATAGTCCATGACGGAGGGGTTAAAAAGTCTTAATTTTATATGCTTGTATTCAATAGCTTTATTCAAAACAACCCCAAGTCAAATAGCAATATTAATGAGTTTTTTCCTGTTAAAACCAAACATAAAGCAATTTATCTTAAATATCATCTCAATTTTGCCTTCTTGGCAGAAGTTTAAAAAACTTAGACTACAAAGAAAAATAAGTTCTCCTTAATGCTAATTGGGCTCATTGTTGTATGTGCTCTTAAGTAACAGCATACTTAGTGCTATGTGACCTGAGGGGAAAAAAAAGAAGAAATCCTTTTAAACTATATCATCTGAAGTGTATGGAAGAATAAACTACTATAAAATATTTTAGAATATCAAGTTCTTTTTTTTACCCAGTACATTCTTTGCTACAAGCATTTTTACAAGTGTTTTTCCCCTCAAACATTTTCACTGCAAATTGCCTGCAACACAATTGAATAGCAAGTTCTTAAGGAAAGCATGATCCTTACTTACCACTGGACGTAAAGAGAAATCGCTTGTCCGACAGGGAACCACTGAAATAGTAAACACAAACATGAGAAGGTGAGTGGCTGAACTGGATCCTAAAGATTGACACGGCGCTGTAGCAGAGCTGCCAGAGCCTTCCCACACCTCAGGGATCCTCAGAGCACCCACAAGGCCTCTGGTGTTGCCTGCACTATTACTTACTGCCTTACAGATCAACACACTCAGGGCCACTCAAGGTGAACAATGCTTCTAAGTTCCTAGAGGTAGCAAATGGCCAGGACTCTATGAGACAATCACTGCTTTTGAAGATAGCCAGGGCTGTGTCCATCATGCTTCATTGGGTTGGGTTGCTTCATTGGCCATGCACCTGTATAGTCTCAGGGATAACCTTAAATCTCAGGTATTTAACACAAGGTGATGGAGGCAGAAAGGGGCACTGCCTTTAGTGGTCGCCACTTGTCAACAGTCAAGGACCACTAAGAGAAAGGAAGAAATCTGGTTACCTTTGGAAAAACCAGCATGTTGTTTGCAAACTACCTTCTCCATGGACCTCATACTTCCTCCTTGGGGGGTTCTGGCCAGCAGTATTGCTGAGGCATAGCCTCTGCCCAGCCTCCCTCTCCAATCACATGCCTTCCCAGTGTACCAGCCAGCACCAGGCCAGGAACCAGCTCTGGCTTGTGGATGATGAGGAGCAGCTTGGAGAAAACTCACAGCATCTCACTGAGCTGGTCTGAACTGGGCCCTCACTGGTACTCAGTCCTCTCACCTGGCATCGACCCCCTGGTCTCTGTGGATCTACAGCTCTTATAGGTGAACTGGTCAAATCAGTTTTGTTTTGTAGTTGTCTCTTTTGATGGAGAAGAGATTCTTAAGGTCCAAGACTATATTTATCTTTTTAAAAACCCTCATCAACTTGATGCAACAATATGTTGAAAGAATCCAAAATTTGGAATTCTCAAGATGAGTCTTATGCGCACAGTACTTATTACATTAGAGTGGCGGAAAACATGAAAAGGTAGATATCACTGTTATATTCAATTATTTTACAACCTGAAAACTTATTACTTAAATGTTTAACTCTAAATTATATATGGTAATAATAGATGGTGAAAATACTTAATGGTGACATCCACAGAGAACTCAAAAATAGTCTGGACGAGTGTATAACTGCTGCACCTCCCCAAATTACACTCAGATTTTCACTTTTGAAGTGTGTCTGTTTGTCATTTCTTTCACCGACGCCCTGACCACCCTGCACGCTTCTCTCAACCCTGAGGTGGCCTCATCGTCTACTGCTGTGCTGGTCCGCGGCATATAACACTTTCCCATCAAAACATTTTTTTTTTTTTTTGCTTTTTGGAGGGAGGAGTAATCTTAGAAATAACAAATAATTAAAGTCATGCTTCCTGAAATGGATTTTATTTTTCACAATCTTTGTCTCTGCTCAGGCAGGGACTCCTAAGTCCTCACATTCCATATAAAGTTTCTATTATAATCTCAGGTTTGAAGACATGAAAAAACTCAGACCCATTTGGGCCCTGGGACTTCCATAAATTCACAGCCAGTGGCAAAGCTAGATGACGATTCAGTTCCTCTGATCCTTAAAGAAAGGTGTTGTCATTCATAATTAAATTTTTATTAAGATTTATTCACAGCCTCTTTTTCACTGATTTTTTCATTTTTTTCTCATGTTCCTGCAGTATTATACTTGAAGTTTAGCCCAAATAATAATGCTGCAACCCTGAGAGCTGAAGCTTCCTTCCACTGCCATGAAATATTATTCTGATCTTGTTGTTGAAAAAAAGAAGCTATAACAGGAAAAATAATTCTGGAGTTAACCCTGAGAAGAAGACACCAGGGAGACTCTGCTTCTAATAGTTCTTTGCCTGGCTTTCCTCCAGTATCAGCTGGAAAATGTTTTTCCATTTCACTCCGTTAAACTAATTAAATAGACCACTTAGAAAATTCTATACATAGGTAAGCCTCTTCTTTTAAAAATGAAAACACCCCAGAGGTTTGGAGTTCCCAGGCATTCACACTTTAGGGTGAATGAATTTAGTCCCATTACAGGAATCATCTGCCTTCCCAGAAAGCCATTGAAGCAATCAAGAATAGTCTGATGTAAACAGAAAGCAAAGCCTCCTGGCTGATGGTTTGAGCCATCATTCTCTCTATGAGGTCATTCCCTCTTCCTGATTCCATTCTGGTCTCCTCAAATCAAGGAAGTGACCTGACCCGGGATGAATCCCAGAAGAACCCTGGATATTTACTTTAGGGACTCCTTCTTCCTCAGCTGTAACGCTTTCTTCTGTGTTTTTTCCTGAGCACCAAACAAGCGTGTGTGGGAACAGAAGTTCAACGACCGCCTGTACAGTGGTCCCCCAACAGCAAAACAACATAGATTAAAAACAACTGGTCCCTGAAGATCTGGGAAGCTAAATGAGTGGAAGAAACTGCATTTACATAGTTTAGTCTTTTCTGCTCAAGAAATTTACAAAAGGAATTCAGAGAAAGAAGACGAGCTCTTGCTTAATTCTGGACTTTCTGGCTACTCCCACTAACCCCAAAATGGGACAATTTGTTCGAACATCTACATAGAATGTGGAGCAATATGTTTTCTAATTCACGAATGGTTTACACTGCCACACTGTTCTTTTTATATCAAAACTTAATTTCAAATTATAGAAAGCAACCTCAAAGGTATTAAGCCCAGTTGATACAGCAGAAATAATTGAGAGCATAATATATACTTTTAGTCAACGGTTTTGATGATTGTTCTTCAGATGTAAAATAAAATCCAAGTAGCGTAAGTTGAACCTTTTACTATCCTATTTTTCTATAAAAGAAACATTCACAGGTATACAAACTAGGCAAGTTATTAAAAAAAAAAGATTTCAAGCCAAATGCCAGTTGTTTGTTCCTATCTGGAGACAGCAGCATCCAGTAAATTCAGGCCACAGTCTGACAGCTTCCTGAAACAATCCCCAGTATCATTAGAAGGAACAATAAAAAACAAAAAAGAAAAAAAGCCTCAAAAAATCAAGCTTGAGCTGATGTTTAAAGTTTACTGTGCATAAGCAATCATATTTACTATAAATCAGGTTATAAAATTTAATGTTCCAGGGTTTGAGGTAAACACATATTGAAAAAATAAGTATATCCATATGTGTGTTCACAATGCATATACATATATGCATACAGATGTATGCACATATGTGACTATATTTATAGTATAGGTATGTATTTTATTCATTTGGGTAAAGATTTATAAGGTGTAAGTTTTATTTATTTGAATGAGAATTTAATTTCCAGAGCCATTTTGTTAGTAAGGTTTTAGATGTAAGACTCTGGCACAAATTTGAGACAAATTTGTCTTTGGATGATCAGTTAATACAGAAGAACATTTTGGGGACTTCTCATAGCTAAAAACCCCATTGAGAGGGGAAGTAAATGAGAAGGTCATTATAGACTGAGCTCAGGAATACAGAGAGGAGAGGTACGTGCCCGAGTATAGCATACATTCTGCCCTCGTGGGTGACTGTCTTTTATCAGCAGCATCACTTGCATTGCTGATAAAATAGTTGGACTGAAACACCCTCTCCCGTTACCTCCACCTGCACCCCAAACTCAGAACTGCCAGGGGAGGGGGGCTCTGCCCTTCTCCTTAGCCGCCCACCAGGCAGCCTACTGAACGTGAGCATGGTATGCCCACAGCCACCAAAACCCTGTGGGATCCCTTCCAGCCAGAACTCTGTGTCCCCCTCAGCCTAGTCCCTGTCTTCTATCAAATCCAAGCCTTGCCTCTTTGTGAAGGTGACCCAACCAACTTCTCCAACCTCAATCATGGCTTCCCAATCCCCAACCCTGTAAGCTTAGGCCAACACCCCTGATTCAGAAATGGGCTATAGTCCCCAATTCACTTGCATTCATAAACTGCTTCTTCGGAACTTAAAATGTTTTCCTATAAAAGGATTATAACTTGTGATCAGGATCTCTAATATGACTCACCATATTGCTAAACTGTAATTCATTTAAATAAAAAGGAGAAAGGGGAGGAAACCTTCTCAAAATGTCATGCTAACTAACTTGGAAATCTATCCACCACCCAGAATGTGATTTTTTACTACACACCATGATCCACAACCCATGGTGAGAATGGAACAGTGAAACATGATCATGTTCTTTCTGCAGGCAAGAGAGGCCGAGGGCAACATGCGGGGGAAAGGGACCTGAGGTCTACACACACACTAGCCAGTGGTTCAAGAGACAGATAGGTCCTGACCTAGTTTTTCCTGCTTTTGGATCCTGAAACGCCTATAGCCTCTGTCCCATGCCATTTCCTTGGAATGAAGATCATGTGGCAACATGTTAAAAAAAAAAAAAAAAGGAGTTGCACTAGCAGGAGGATATTTTCAGGACAGATAGAGGAGTGAGAAGTATAATAGCTTGAGGAACACTTTCCCCTCCTGGGCACACACCCAAAGGGAGCCTCCCTCAGACCACTCTGGGCTGCCTGTTTCATGTGTGGACATCTGGACCAAAATAAGTGCCTATATTTAGTTCTGACAACTCTGGTTTTCCTCTATAGAAAGAGTAAAAGCTAAAGTTGAAATGTTGAAAGAAACTGATACACTTTTTTCTTTTGAAACTAGGAGCATGAGGATAATATCAAAGAGAGATGTTATCAATGTTAACAAAAGTCTTGTCTTTTTCATTTCCCAGCTATTATTCATCCTAAGAGATTGTCTCTAGGGTTCTTCGGGAGAGCTTGGTAAAACTAATAAGGGATGAGACCTTATTCTCTCACACTAAAATATCTAAGAGTGGAAATACTCCCCTGCCCTAGGACTTTAGATGTATGCCATTTTAAAATTTGTTGTCAGCATAATCAGTGAGCTTTTTTATAGCTATATTTATCTTTCACATATGACCATAAATGCTTTTCTATGCATTGACATATAATTTTGTAGTTGACAAACCCTTGGTATCACACCCCCGATGTTCTTTCAAAATTGTGAGCTGATTAATCATGCCTTCATAGTTTCCTTCCAGTCAGAACAAAGCTTAAAGTACTTACTCCCTTGAGAGCACACCATTCGCCAGGACTCCTTCATATCGACTTATCCCTTTGCTCTGAAGCACGCTGATCTGACCTCCTAGCTCATCTGCAATTATTCCTGCATGGATGGCAGCTTTGCACAATAAAGAGGTCTGAAAAACAGCAATATTATCATTCCTAGCTTACTAAAGAACATATTTAAAATACAGAGCGAGTTTTCTATTTTGTTATAACTTGTGGTCAGGATCCCTGGTTGACCTGTAAAATTGCTAAACTATGGGGAAGGAAAAAAGTTATCATCTCTCAAAATGACATCAGAGCTCCTATATTTATGCTACCATGGGAGCTTATTCACTAGCAAGGGAGAGAGGTGATTTACAAGTAGTGGTCCCAATGAACAACACATCCCAATAGCCATGCCCCTGAGACGTCACCTCCTCATGCTGACTCTTACCTGGCCTAGGTAGCTTACAATGTTCTGTTGCAGATAACATGGCCCAACCAACACATGTCCGATAAGTCACCTAAATTCTTCAAGCCCCAAAGGGTGAATCAAATGACTGCAGCCTCAGGCGTGATTCTAGGCAAGGAGTGCTTAAGAAATGATTGGCCCAAGCTGTTGACCCACAAACCTATTGGCAAATAAAATGACTGTGACTTTAAGCCACTAAGTGTTAGGGTACATGCTAAGCAGAAATACATAACTGACCAGTTTCTTATATTCTAAGATCATTTGAGAAGGTGAGTCTTCATTTTACAGTGAATTTAGAGATTAAACAAGGTATCAAAGCTACAATGGTAATGTCAGTTACAGAACACCAAACTTTGTAGATCTTAGACTGATAATGAACAACCCAGGGCCCATAAGATCCACCTCATTTCCTGGATGTCCTCTGAGAGGGTCGGCACCCAGCAAGCACTTGTGCTGCAGAGCTGCTGGCTGGTGTGGTTCTGCTGGAATTGACCAATTGGGAAGTGGGGCTGGAGAAGGAACTGGAACTTTTCTAGGAGGTGCCCAGGACCACAGGTTCCTATGAATGCAGACTGGTGTGGAAGGGTTTTAGGCAGACAGCCTGGAAACTGGGGGATGAGAAGGATCTTTTTCTAAATAAACTTTTACAGTGGCCCATAATGATTAATGTCAAAAAGAGAAAAGCGGCCTAATAAACCACAATTTATACAGCCTTAGTAAAATTGAGAACACTGTGATTTTCAATTTAGAGAGTTCATATTTCCCAAAGTAGATGAGTTTTGACAAAGTGAGTCAGTTTTGCAGTAACTTCCATCATGGCTAAAAAGGGGGAAGATTTCATGGCAGAGAAAAAAATACCGCAATTCTGAAACACAGATGCAGACATTACCCTTCCTGGTTTGGAAAGAGACTGGAGAGAAGAAATGAGAAAAAAAAAAAGTGCTCTTTAAGTAGCCAGATTGCACTTTGATTTTTCCTGAATTATCATTCATTACAAAGCTTTTTATCATGACTTTGGATTCTTGGGGTACAAAATGAAGGAAACAATCATAATAGGACTGAGTCCTGAATTTAAGTTCAAAAATTTTATTTTTTTATTATTTTTTAAAGATTTATTTTGCATACAAGAACTGGGGTACAGGCCAGAGATAAGGGGGGTGAGAGGAGTCACCAGAGACAGAGTGGGGAGCAGAACAGGCAGATTGACAGAAGTACACTGCTGAGGGGAGCAGCAGGCAAGTCATGTGGGTTGCTCCCTGGCCGGCTGGGGATTGAACCAGTGCTGCAGAGGCCGCAGATTGCTTCATAGTGCGGTGCTTAACCCCTGCGCCACCAGGGAGGCCCAAGTTCAAAAATTTTAGCTTGTCATCTCTCTGCCTTCAGTCACCTTACTGCTCTGCACCTGGTTTCCCAATTCATCCATACAATGAAAAGGCTAGTACCTTTTCTGTCACCCTGTGATTCTAAAGGTCACCCTATGTGCCTATTATAGGGTCCACACCGTCTGTGCCTCTCTCTCAAACCTAAAATGAAAAGCAAATCGGTGCAGTGGTCTGCTGGACAGCTATACCCCTGGGATCATGTCTTCCTTGGAATTCATTGGGGGTGGGGGAAGGAGCAGAGATGTGATGGTTTTCATCCCAAGAGCTCTGTTCTGTTTCACTAGACTTAGCATGTTCCAGGGCTTCCTTGGCTATAAGAGGTCAGGTTCACAGGTCAACAAGCAAGAGAACCTACCAGCATCACTGGCCAAAAAATATGCTTATCTTCTCAGAATCCCAGAGTTGAAGGGACCCAAGGGTATATACTCCTTTTAAGGAATTTATTTAATTGCAGCTCACATTTTCCTATATTAAATATAGACCACAGAATGTGTCTCTGAAACAATAACCACCAGATCTGGCTATTGCATCATTATGTTAAAATTATCAAGCTTTTCCAGGATTATTTCCTTGTAAAGAAATCCCTCTCTTACTCCACTAACTTAAATAATAAAATTGTTGTGCACTTAAGTTGGAACATTTTGGTATCAAATTAAAAATTTCACATTCATTAAATATGTTTTCTAAGAAACTCCCTTTTGAAGAATAGTATATACTTTGATGTTCTTGCTACTTTAAAGCCACATTGAGATGCAAAAATTTCAAATATTTAAAAATTTTAGTGATGAAAGTCAAATCACTGTTTTATGTTAATTAGTGAACTGCCTTAAGCTCAAATAATTTAAATGTAAATCTTCAGGGAAGGGAATTTAATGGGCAACTGAGAATACCACTCAGATGATTTACAAAATTGCAGGCTGACTGTATTAAGCCACAAAAGCTAGGCATGAGGTAAGACTAAAAGAACTTTCAAGGCAATGACCAAACCATTCTAGAACTACGCAATTTTCTTAAATCATCTTTTTAGGGAAAATCAACTTTGTCCTAAAAAATATTGACAAAGTATTGAGAGAAAATTAATACAAAAAGTAAATGTTTCTGATTGCATTAAATAAACATGAATAAGGTGCATGTTTAAAAATGTTCATGATGGTTAAATGCTAAACTGTAAAAATACATTCCTCATTCTACTATATAAATTGTTTTTATGTTGCTAGAGTCTTCACAATTGCCACAGTGATAACATTCTCTTACAAAAGTTAATCATAAAAATGTTAAAAAACAAAGAAATAAGTTTGTCACTTATATTGCCATCACTCAGAGGTAGCCACTCACCAAGACAATGTCTTTTGTGAGTATACAAAATAGGTCTAGTTTTTCTCCTTCTCCCAAACCAGGAATACATGGTATGCACTGTCCTTCTGTATTTTATGGTTATTTCCTAGAGTATTTTGGGGGAATAGAAAATTACTCAAGAGTTTGGTTAAGCAGTGTCTACTACTTAAAAGCAGATGGTATAGGCAGCTGACTTTGTGGAAGATGGCAAGAGAAAAACTGTTCTGAAGGCATATTTTTGGTTTCTAGGTGAGGCAAATCTCACCTAATTCACTTGTTCAGGCCATGCCACACATGCACCATGGTTGTAACATCTGCACTTAACACTTCAGTGGCTAGGTTATCATGATTTCTTGAGACACCCAATCCCATTTTGCACTGTTCTGTTATTGTTTATATGCAGCTCAAATTGGCCTTCCTATGATTTTCATCAACTGCTTCAACCTCTGCCTTTTGGAACTAAACAGAATGAACCAATTTTTTTTCTTTAAGACAACATATTTCTTCCCTGAGATAAAACACTTGTTCTGAAACCACATCTCTAGTAATTTATTTTACAGAACTTGTCACACAAACTTAGAGGATATATTTTGGTATTGCAAAGACGCTTCTAGTAAGGACTGGCTACAATTTTTCCTAAGATGAAGGCACTGGGGAAGAGACTATAAGATAAGCCCCATGATCTCTGCCTCCCAGCACTCCCTTATGTAATCTGTCTGGGCTTGGGTGACAACTGTGACTTCTTTTCTAGCAAACAGAATATGGTGCTGAGACACCGCACTCATGGTACTATTACATTATTGCAACCTGTCTTTCTAGAATACTCCCTTGCTAAGGAAGCCCCCCCCATTATTGGTTTCCAAGAAGCAAGTTGTGATATCAGAAAGGCTACGTGGCAGGGAGGTGAGAAGACTCCTCCAAAACTCAGGGAGAAACTGAGGTCCTCCATTACTGAACCTGCAAGTAACTCAATGCTGTCAACATCATGTGAACCAAGAACAAATCCTTTCCCAGAATGAGCCTCAGATGTGACTGCAACCCCAGGTGACCCCTTGTGACACCCTGAAGGTAACTTTGTGACACCCTGAAGCAGAAAATGCTAATGAGTTGCCAAACTCCTGAGCCACTGAACATGAAAGATGATTAAATGTGTTGTTTTAAGTCTCTGCATATGTGGGAATATTGTTACATAGCAATAACACTGAATATACACATGATATCAACATATACCAAGAAAGGTACTAGTCAGACCTCTTTGAAGAGTTTAGTTTTCAAAATGCAAATTTTCCCTCCAGGTAAAATCATTCTAAAAGCAAATCGTACAAAACCAGTTAGTCTGTCAAATAGAAAACCTGTTTGTTAGCAGTTGCAAATCATACTACTCAGATCCATCATGCAGAAAGCCATCTTACTTATGACAACAAGTTAGATTGCTCTGTCAGGAGGAGGCAAGATAAACATCTGAAATAAGAGAACACCAGGCTATTTCTCTTATTACATAGAACCTTACATTTCTGGTACTGGGCAGGAAAATAGTAAGTAAGAACTTTCCATTACTCTCAGTTAACTTTCTGAAGTCATTTAGGAGTAGTCTAGCCTAGTAGATGTTCAGGCTGAGGTAATATAAATCAATATATAAGTCATATGAATATCTTGTATCAATCTTATAAATAAAGACAATACATGAAAAAGGAAACAAACAGCAAAATAACAAACTCCACTGCTCCCAGAATCAGGACATGCTAAAAAGTAAAAACTAAAGTTCAGTTTTTCCCTATTGCTGGAAATGAATTATCAATCTGCAAGAATATGTCTATTTTCCCCAAGAAGACACATGTCAATAACTCTTACAATTCCATCATTAGTCAGATTTTCATATTCTTAATAATTCGAGTCAGTTTTCATAAGCTGTAAACTCAAGTATTTTAAATAGCTACATAAATTTAAAAAAAAAATCAGATACTAGACTTCAGGACAGGGAATCTATACACAGGGAAAAAATGAAGGGTTGTGTATCTGGAAATAAGACTCATCCTTTATAAAAACAATTTGTGAATTTATTTTCCTCTGGGAACAACGTATAACCAAGAGAGTCTCATAAAGCATAAAAAAACTGGGGTGCAAGGAGGGAGGGGAATAATATATAAGAACAGGCAGATGACTTTATTGGCCCTAGAAACCATGTCTCTACTGTGATGTGATGCGCATGACCTTGGCTCTCTTACATGAACCAACAGGAACATTAAAATAAAGAGATTAAATTATAAGAAACAGGATGATGTAATAAAAAATAGATGGAATTACAGGAATAGGTGTTCAAAGGGTTTTATTTACCATTTTATTTATAATATGCTTGATTGGAAATGCTAAAAATACAAATGAATGCATGAATTACCTTGGTTTTTACAGCCTTATTTCATTTATTCTCAGATAAGAATCAATTATCTACCTAAAGAATTTTATATATTATTGATTTTTATTTTGTAATGAATTATGGGAAAGCAACAAGTATCTACTCTTTTAAATTTCCTCCCTACCATAAAATTACTTACATCTCTATAGCCATCCACCACATTGCCAGAAATGTCTCCTGCTATGTCTCTACAACCAGCTGGGCAGAATTTGCTAGAAAAAGAAAATAAAATATTTATAATTTAATGAAATTATATTTAAATTCAAAAGTATTACATAAGATTTGAAAGTATTTTCTCTCCTGCTTTGAACATGGGGGGATATTTTGTTCTAATAACAAATCAGAAAACAGAAATCTAAAATGTTACTCTGAAGGCAAGTCTTTACAACAATTATTTGTTTTATATAAGGATTCATGATAATCTCTACTAAACAATGAGTTTCCCTAATGCATCTTAATTGATCACAAGATGTCTAAGACATATTTTAAGGGAGAAGATAAGTTTCTAAACATTAAAATAACATAACATAAAATACAGCATAAAATAAAACATAACATAAAATACAGCATAACTAAACATGAAATACAGCATGATCTTGTCTTTATAAAGAGAAATGCTTAACATACCCCAAAACTATGTTTTTTTGTGGCTAAAAAAAGACAAGAAAGAATTATCTCTGAATTCTCTCTAGGAGTAGGATTTTGGGAACTTTATTATTTTACTCTGTGATATCTAGATTCACTCTAATAGCACCAATCCAATAGGAAGATAAGAGAAGTTATCCATATAAATTTAAATAGTCTAGTGGCCACATTAAAATTTAAAAAGTAAAAAGAAATTGGCAAAATTAATACCTATAATATATTTTACTTAACCCAATATGTTCAAATTTTATTATTTTCACGTGTAATGAGCAGAAAAAATATTAATGACATATTTCCAGTCTTTTTTTCTGATATCTCCAAACTCTGCTGTGTATTTTGCATTTATAGCAAAACTCAACTTGGATTGGCCACAGTTTAAGTGCTTGTTAGCCACATGGCTAATGTTGGACAGTGATGATGTACATTAGATATGAATTACTTTCAATTAGAAAAGAAGGTGTATTTTTCAGCTTTATTGAGGTATAATTGACAAATAAAAGTATAAGATACAAAAATTGTAAGATACTTGAAGTGTACATCATGATTTTATATGTATACATTGTGAAAGGCTTTCTCTCAAATAGTTAACGCATTCATATATATTTTCACACACACACACCCCTATATATATTTGGTGAGAACATGTAAATTCTACTCTCAGCAAATTTTAATTACATATATTATTGCCAACTACAGTCACCATGTTACACATTAAGTTCTCAGACTTTATTCACCTTACAGCTGAAGGTCTGCATGATTTTATCAACCTCTTCCAATTTCCCCAACCTCCCCACCTAACCACTTTCTACTCTTCATTTCTATGCGGTTAGCTAAAAAAGGTTTATTTTAAAATTAGGATTCAATATATTTAGCAGTCATTTTTCAGAAACTTTCCAGAAACATGTCATGGAATATGGTATAGTTGAAGGAGTTTTGCATGATGTGACCCTGATTCTGCTATTACCTAGCTAGCTTTGTGACCTTCAATATTGCAGAAAATTCCCCTTAAATTCAGTTTCCTCATCTGTAGCTCTTTCAAACATCAACAGATAAATAAGTAATAAGGGACAGTTATATTTCTATGAAAAAAAAGGGCTAAAAAGAAAGTCAAAATATTATAAGAACATCGACAGCTTTGAAGATGAATGCCATATGCTCTGGCTTGTATATATACTACATTACAATAATGTTTACTTAAAAAAGAATGTAGCCGTCCAGATTCCAAAATAGCAGTTGTTTTTAGTTCATTTCCTTTTAGTTTCCTCCTGCTGACTTAGCAAATTAGATGTGCAGCCACATCCAATTATTGAAACTACCCAAATAAATGTTTCATAATCCTTTCCCATTGACTTCCTGGAGTCAGCTCTAATCAAGGAATTAAGAATAAAAATAACAGGAATTCTATTACAGTTTTACAATTCTTTATCCTAACTCAGAGCCAGATGTAATTCAAAATTCAGATTTTTTTTTTAATTTAGAAAAGTGAAACAGTGACAATGATGTTTGTGGTGTAAGACTCCAGTGAGACCTGAACGTATTAACAAAAACCTTAATATCTCTGCATCACATATATGAATAGTGCAAGCCAAGCATAGAATGACTAAATGTATACTTGTTAATTTAGTCTAAATTTGTTGTCAAATTGTTTCTTGCCACCAAATGTGTCTTCAAAAACATTTTGGCTTTGGCATGTTGAAACATTCACATTAGTCACTTATATCCTAAGTCCAGAGAGCTGTACGTGGCACTAAGAAAGCAGCACTCTAAAGAGTTGCAGTTGTTGATGTTGTTGATGATGATCTTCAGACCAGTGGGTTTCAACTGGGGGATGATTTTTGCAATTGGGAGACATTTGGCAATGTCTGGAGACATTTTGATTATCACCATTGGCAAGTAGAAGTTCAAGGCCAGGGATGCTGCTAACCATCCAATAATGCACAACTTTTCACAAAAAAGAACCACCCACCCCAACGTTTCAGTAGTGTCAAGTTGAAATCCAGCTCTGGACCCTTTCTGTATTGATGAGGAAACATACATCAGAGCGATTAAGTAGCATCCCAGGAGAAAAAATTTCATCTCCTTATTCTTACTAGGTTTCTCTAGGGAAAGACAAAATGAACCCCCTTCAAAAAATGAGAGAAGTTACTCTTAAATGCTGGCCAGGTTAAAATAAAAACCACTTAGACTCCATTTTGGCTCATGTAACTATAGAGCTCAGGGATCAGAAAACTGGCCCAGGGACCAAATGCAGACTTGTGCTTGTTTTATACAGCTTGTCAGAACACAGGCATGCTCATTTGTCTACAGCTGACTTTGTCCAATAGTAGCAACAGAAGCTGTATGAGTAGATGCAAGGGAGACTGGGCTATCCTGCAAACCTAAAATATTTACTATTGAATACTTGACAGAAAAGGTTTGCTCACCTCTGCTGTATAAGAAACTATTTCAAATATTCCTTGTTTTACAACTGAGGTGATTTTTAAAAATTAAGAATAAGGAACTTTATCTGGTTGACTATAAAGGAAAAAATGTACACTGACTGCAGCACAGCTAGGACACCTCTATTTACCTGTATTCTGTCTTCAAATAATGGTTGGCTCGTTCCAAACATGTTATTAAATCTGTCATAAATAAAGATAATTGCAATTAGTGGGGTGAATGGAAGTTAGGACACTCATACTCTAAAGACTTCTTCTGAAATAAAAAGAATTTTAAGCACTTATTTTTCTGTTGAAAAAATAAAAGTGAAATATCTTCTCCAGGATTTAATCAGTTTCCTTCATTTTTTCCCCTACCACCAATGATGGGGTTTTGTTTTTTTTTTTGCAATTGTGCAGTGAAATATAACAGAATCTATTTCCAGCAGAAAAAGCCAACATTGATTAGTAACTATCTACTATATGCCTACAAAGATTAAGATTATGTATATAACCTCCTCTGGCAGGCAGAAAACAATTTCAAAAGTCCAATGTGGTTCACAGTAAGATTCAGGAACATTTAAAAAATGCTCCTGTGGCATCTGAATGACCACAGATTCAGGAGTTTACTGAGAACATAGCCCATCATCTTTGATCTATCAGGTATAAAGATTTATAATAAAGATACTAAGATAGTGTGGATTTTGATGCATTTAGGATCAATCTAGCATATTTTCCAAAATGTCACATGCGTGCTACAGTAGTTTTCTCTAAGACTGCTAGGATTGCAGACCTAATTGACCAAGAGGGAAATAAATGGTGCCATCACCTTTCTCACATCATTTCTGTCTGAGAATAGAAACTTTGGGTATCTTAGTGATCCTGGGCAGATGTGAACTAGCTGCACTACAATCACAATGGGGTATAGGAGACCTGGATGGGGAGGACATTGGACATTTCCTCTCTCATCATTGTTCACACTTCCCTTCTCACCTGCTCATGTGTTGCCTCTGTGGTTAGGAAACTGTGTACAGTGACCTCAGCCTGCTTCTACTACAAGTCTCCTATGCGGGTGCACTCGTGTGTGTGTGTGCGTGTGTGTGTGTCCCCATTGGTTAAAAGTCTTATCCCTGGAGCTAGGAAAGAATTAGGAGAGGGCTTCAGATTCTTAGAAAAACTGAAATCAACCTTGTCATAAAAAAGTCAACTGATCAATCTAACATTATTATAAAAGTAGAGTTGACCTTGAACAACAGCGGAAGTTTGGGGTACCGACTCCCCACAGTCAAGTAAAATCCATGTCCGACCCATGGATTCCACATTTACAGATTCAACCAAGGTACCTATGTGGTTGGTTGAATTTGGGAATATAGAAACTGTGCACAGAAAAAAATTCATAAGTGACTCCAAAGTTTAAAGCACGTTGTTCAAGGGTCAACTTTATTCAGTTTCAGACCTAACTACTTACAAAACAGCATATTCCTCTCTTGTCTTACATCTTAATTCTGTAATGGAGGTAATAATTCTGTCCAGAGACAATGATAAGTTGCAAGAGGAATTCTTAAATAAAGGTTTACAGAGGTGTGTTGATTCTTCAGTTATACCTGGGTGGTCGCTGCTGGCATAGGTCAGCAAAAAACCCCGCCCAGAAATGTGGGATCCACTCTCAAATCGAACAGTCACTTCGCTTGTGTTCAGCCGGAGTTCTAAGGGCATGGTCATACTTCCACAATAGGGACCTGGGAACAAAGCAATTGTGTGGCACATTTCAAAATTTAAACTAGCACAAGAACTGGTATATGGCATTTTTGTCCTTACTTGTCATTTTTACCAGATAACATATTTGTAAGCTTCTCATTTTCACTCAACCAAAATTTTGCTTAACACTGACACTGATAATTAGAGACTGACTGTGAACTTGATTATACACACAATTCCAGGGATTAAAATGACTGAAATTAGTTCTTTGTGAACCCAAGAGATATGTTTTGGTTTTTGTAAAAGATGGCCGAAAAACACTGGTCAAATACATTAGGTAGCAAAGAAAGTTATCACAAAAATGATATTCTGGGGCCTCCTAAATTTGTTCAAAGAAACTAAAAAATTTCTTTTTCTCATGGAAGTTCCAGAATTAAAATATTGTCAAATATAGGGTAAAAAATTATTATTCTTATTATTCTCATACAGTTTACACTTTTCTCTCTCTTATGGTAATTTTTGGTTAATTTATAAAATCAATTTGACTTGTAAGATGAGGTTTAAAAAAACAGAATAGTTTTGAAAGGTATTTTGAAATACATCAGGATAAATTATGCAATTTAGAGCTTAATGCATTTAATAGAATAAGTTACTTGAGAAACAATTGGAAGTTCAATGAACTTTTAAAGGACAAAATAAGATTTGGAGCGAAAGAAAACAGGACCTTTTTAAGACTACTCAACTTAAAGTTGAGTTTGTAAATTGTCCTCGTGAAAGTCATGTATGCAAGACATTATAACTTCTATGACAATGGAATGAGAAAACAAATTTTGAAAAGAGGTTTTCTTCATTAACTTCTCCCAAAATAAAGTAATATGACAACAGTCAAGAGCAATAACAAAGACAGTATCAGGTTAAGGAAGGAGGAGGAGAAAAAAAAAGACCATGACAATTCAACTAGCCAAAACAAACATAAGGATCAAAAAGTTAAAAGATTCAGGACATCATGAACTAAATACCCCTCTCCTGGAGGAAGGGATTAGATTTCTCTTTTGCTCTGTCCAGGTCTCACCTCTGAAGATGTGACAGAAAAAGAGAGAAGTGTATATTTACCTTTATGTCCCAATCTCTGTTGTTCCCTATTGTTAAATTATAGTAAAATCCAAATGAAAATGAAGATGATCACTTTCCTCTATAGAACCACTTATAAAATTACTTGCAAATTACTTGCAATAATACATAGCATATGAGCACTATGTAAGCAGTACAGAAGCATCAAATAAATGAATAAATTAAAAGACAATATTAAATAGGCCTGTTTTTCTTCTAAACTGTTCCGTGTGGTTAGGAAGTTTCCCTCCATCACTTTATTGCCAGCAGCTTGTAAAGCACCTGCACGCAGCAGTCTTCCAAATTTCATTTGGACTGAAATGAAGTTGAATATTCTTTTTGCAACAGTCAGTTTTTATAAACCAATTCTGATTTAAAGATATATAAAATATTTAATCCTATCATTTTAAAATAGAAGAAGTCAGGAAGAAGTGTGAAGAAGCAAAAGAGGAAACGTAATCATTAGTATAATGGATATATAGATTTTTATGAACTAGTAATGCCCACAGGCATTATAGGGAGGCAATTTATATTAAATCCATTTTTGTCAAAGTAGAGTAACAAGCATTTTTGCCAAATTAAAATGAGTCATGTTACTGTGCTTGGTGTCTGCAATGGAGTCTCAATTTTTAAAAATATATTTTTTGCACAGATAAGTGAAGATACTTGCACTGTAAGCCCAAAAGTAAAAATGATAACTAGTAACTGGTTGCTATGAATGAACACTTTACCTTTTCTAAGAGGAAATGATAGCATATATACTAGAGCATTCCAGTAAGCTCTAATAAAAATCATAAGGTAAGCAGTTTAAATTATCTGTGAGAATTTCTTTGGAATTTTTTAAAAGATGTTATGAAAGACTAATTAATACAAAGTAAAAATAAAAATCAACAAGCAACTATAAACCAGAGACACACTATGGGGGTGGGGGGAGAGGGAAGGGGAGAGGAAGGTCTAGGGTCAAAATAAGGGGGGGTACAATTGTATGGGGAATATAACCAAAATGAAAATGCATACATTGTGCAAAAATGAAAAATGATGTAAGAATTATATAAAATAAAATATTAATTAAAATAAAATAAAATAATGAAAAGGCAAAAAAAGAGATGTTATAGAACAACTGAAAAGAAAGCCTGCACAATTTATGCTTTTTACACAAAAAGATAAGAGTACATGTCATCACACTATGTTGTTGTGCAATCAATATGCTTTCCCAAAAACACATCAATGTGGAAAACTAACTCGTCTGGGTCCTTCCAAATTCATGACAGCCATGTAAAAATTTCTGGAAGTTCAGAGAAAGAAAATGTCAACACACTCCTTTAATCATCCTTACCCACGGGACCAATCTCCCTCACATTCTTATAGATGTGCTAGAAAAATACAACTAAACCCTAAAGGAGATAGGAGATTCCCTCTTTACAGAAAGGCCATTATTAAGTTATTTTGAAAGGTTCATCGCAGTCACAACTATCACAATAGCTGGAGGCAGTTTTAGTCTAGGGTGGGGAACAGAAGTTGAGTATTGGCTGCTGTATCACCTAGGGCAAAACATCCAAATTATTGCCTGTCTGAAGGGCTCACAAACTGGAAGATAATAACTGTGTTTATGCTAAAAGGCAAAAGAAATGAAACAGAAAAATGTGACTGGCAGAGGGAAAAAATAATTAATGGGAACTCACTGAAAACTCCTGTAAGACTGTTCTAAGCAATGGTCTCAATTTTCAGCCAGACTTCCTGGAGGATGGTATCTTTTCTTACAAAAGCCTCTCTCCATCCATGGCTGCCCAAATGAATATCCTCCAACCTGACTTTTGAAAAGGGTCTGCAACTTGCATGTACACATTCACAAAGCCAGTTTCATTGGAAACCCGAGAGTTCAGTGACTGTGGCCACATGCACCATTCTGGGCAGTGTTCCTGGATGGGTAAACCTGTCTCAATTCACAGACTTCTTGAGTGGCTCAAGAATTTCAGCCAACCTAAAAATAGGACTCACACTCTGGCATAGATCTTTGCTTTACAGCGGGCAGTATGGTAAGTTTCACAGCACTTGAACTTGCTGTCGAACTTCCCACCTTCCCTCACCTCTCTCTCCTGCGAGGCAAGCTCCATCTTACTTCGCAGTCACACATTCCCACCAGACTGGGACACAGAAGAAAGCCAATTCATCAAGGAGGCAGAAAAATCAGGGGGAAAAAAAAAAAACCTCTACTCTTTACTGAGTGAAATTGTTGCCCTGGGTTGTGGGGTGGGCTATCAGTGATAGCTACTGAAATAGCTTTGTGGCATTTGGCACCAGACATGAGAGCAAAGCCCAGCAGACAATGCACTGATTGATATCTTTGACAAAAGGGATAAAGCACGGGGAACCTCTGGAGCCGCCTTCTTTGAGTACAGTAGGCCAGTTCCTCTCAACACATCCCCTGTTTGGAGTTACTGTTCCATGAGCAGCTGAGAGGGAAATCCTTTATTTTTCTATGTGTGAATCAAAGAAAACTGTCCTAAGAATGAACTGTCTGCCAGATCCAAGCCAGGAACCCCCTTGATCTGGCAAGCTGATGACATGGGCAGCCAGGAGTAGTATTGCTCTGTTCTCCATGGGCTGTCTCTGAATATCACAAGGCGGTAATAGTTTGGTTAGCAACTGTTCCAAGTCATTCAGGTGATCTTGAAATTGATGAAACTAAGTTATTGTTTCATCTGTGACAGGGACCTGTTTTAAAAAGTGGTATGCATGCTATTAAAAAAAAAAGAAAGAGTTCTTCCCTTTCGTCCATCCCTCACCCAAATTATGCTTTCAGTGGTGAAAAACACAGAGGGAAAAATATAACTCTTGAGAGAGTTTCACAAATCAAACTTAACAAACCTCCCCCCACAAAACCTTCATTAATCTAGCACCTACTGAAGCACACATTTAATTTCTCAGGGCAGAGAAGAATATGCCAAGGGGCCTAAATGATGGTCCCAGTGAGGACCACAGCAGACTCGGCTGCCAGGGGAGCCGCGCTCAGGGATGAGACACTCTCCAGATGCTGAGGCTGCAGACGCCAGACTTGTGTCCCTTTTCCATTTGTTTTTTTCTTGCAGTCAAATGACAGGCTTGGTCCTTGATTGCTAATTGCAATCAGGTCATTATACAGAATGACATTACTTTCAGGGCCATTTTCTTTGAAAAGGAGGGAAATTAACATAAAAAAGAGATATTCCTGGACTGTGACATTAAAAGCACAGTCACGTAAGAATGTAAGTGGTATCCCTGGAGAGTTCTGGTCTCTGGTTCCCAGACAAAAATCAGTGACAGATGATAAATGAACCAGTAGATTCCTAAACAAAGGTGCAGCTTTCCTTGGGGCTATGAGACCCAACAAGGTCAAGAAGTGCTTTAACACTGGCACTCCAAGACCCACCTAGGCCATTCCTTTGCTCCCAACAAAAGATAGTAATTACTGAAACTAAATCACAGTGCAACTCCTGGGAGCTATTTGGGAGAAGGAGAGCAGTAGGCCAATAGCTTCTTCTTGAGGCTTAAAGATTATGTTAATAAAATATCTTGTGTGGGACAGTCTGGCTGATATAATCTTTGTAAGTTTTAGATTCTTTCTGAATTCTGTCTTGGCATAAAAGGCAACATAAACAAACAAAATGAAGTTCTCAAGAATTTCCATAAAAGTATTTCCAGCCATAGGGCAGATTAATAGTTTTAGGGTGTCTGTGGCATAAAATAACTTCGACAAGTTGGAAATTTCTTTTATCTTTAGAAGCCATTGGAATTCTGCTTTCTCCATAATATGTCTATGAGAAATAAACCATTTGCAAAATAAAGACTATGATTCTTGCATTTCTCCCTACTTGGGATTTTTATAAAATCAATAGATAAGCCATAATGATTAAATCTTATTTTACTTGCCAGATATGAATCATTCTAAAAT